GAACACCCACATTTAATTGTCTGGAAGAACCGATCAGCTATGGTGACATGATGTTTGTGCCGCCTATCACGATGGACAGGGGTCTGAGACATGACCAACCACCTCAAAAGTTATCTGGATCAATCAGCTTGACATCTAACTACTCTGTATCCGTAAACCAGCTTCTGCTAGAACTTAGATTACCCGCCTCTTTATACTTAAACTCAGATCAATCGTTTCAGGTGTATTGTGTTCCTGATTTGGCCTCATCTAACTTTATTCTTTGGTTGTGGTGATGGCGAGATCCTATAATTAGAGGAGATGCGTGTAACACAAACAATGCTCAACTTTGGTTATGCTGGGTGACTCGAGATGAAGGGAGTACTTAGAGACCTTGACTACATGAATGAGACAACTCAGAGTGATTAAACATAAACGTCAGTGATGTTAAACGCTTCAATGGCACAAGAGCAAGCTGAGCTCTTGGCTCATACAGCTGAAGCTCAAACTCCACCACCTTCAATCCACTTATTAAACCACTTCAAGGGCTTGAGCCGCATTTCCTGCCTCCTCATGCAAGGCACATGCAACATTGACAGCCAGGATTAATTAACAGACCGGGATCACTTCTTTCCCTCCATCTCCGATATGTCTGTCTCGCTCTCTAAGAGGCTGGTATTGAAAGGGCTGAGCCTTGGATGTTTGTTCTCTGCGTCATGTTACCAAGCCAACAAGGGAGAAGCACCCCTCATGGAGTAGAAAACCGGATATCTACCCTTGCTGATCGTGGGAGGGAGCTGGAAAAACCCCCTGTCCAGATTATTGGAACGGCTGTCAATTGGCGACTGAGTTACAAAAATGTTTGCTTGTTATGATGTTTAAGGGATAAATGCTGCATCTCGTAAATCGAATGAGTGGTGGTTGGCTGTGAAAAGGGAGAATCAGCAACCAAAGATTTCGACCAATCAGCTCTCAGTCTAATGTCTTTCAGTCCTTTGTTCTGGGCTGTCTAATGAGAAAAAGGTCGCATATCGTATTCATAGTTCGAGGCATAGTTTGAGGCTGGATTAGTTTTCATTCGAGAACTCAGTCGACTCCAATTGAGCTTCATCATTGGAGGGGTGACTTGGTGGTAGCGTGTGCCCAAAGCTCACCTCGATTGGCGAAGACGATGGACGTCACGTCACGTGATATTAGTAGTATCTCTGTAAGCCTGAGATAATCACCAAATTCTTTTCCATTTAACCCCACATTATTGCGTAGTAGCGAACCAAATCGCTGAGCAATCATTACAAAGTCAATTACACAGCAAAGCATACTTAGCTATATCTTGTCAGCGTTTTTCAATCATCATCAATCGAATCTATTTTCATGCAGGCAACTTCTCGTGAATTCGGTGATTTCGTCTATATATGTTTCGCATCAGTCCCTTGATTGCGATTTTCGTCGCTGCAATTTCCATCCTCATCATCATCATCTATCCAAGCAACTACTTCACTCATATTCAACAACTTACAACAAACATTTTCACAAACAAAACCACAACAATTACTTCGACTACTCAGAGTCAAATGAACGCTGCAAAGAACATGTCCAAGTCTCTCCGTCACGCAAAGATCACTCCTCATCGCTCCAGCAGCCGTGGTCACAGTGATCATGGCTGGTTGAACACTTACCATAGTTTTTCTTTTGCCGACTGGTATGACCCGAGGTTCAGTCACTTTGGCTCTCTTCGCGTTCTCAATGAGGACCGAGTAAAGGCCAACTCGGGTTTCCCTACTCACCCTCACCGAGACTTTGAGATCTTCAGCTACATCCTATCGGGAGAGCTCACACACCGAGACTCAATGCTCACCAAGGGCAAGGAGGGAGGACAATCTGACAAGTTCTACCGCATGCATCGTGGAGATGTCCAATTTACCACTGGTGGTACTGGCATTGCCCACTCGGAATTCAACGAACACAAGTCAGACACAGTCCACTTTCTTCAGATCTGGGCCATTCCCTGGAAGCGTGGTCTTACCCCCAGATACCACACCCGTCACTTCAGCGATGAGTCCAAGAGACAAGACTTTGTCAAGATCCTGAGCCCTCTCAAGGGAGGTGAGGAAGCTTCAGTCCAGCAGGAGAAGGACGCTGAGCCTGTCATCCCCGACACTATCCCCATCCACGCTGACTTTGTCATGGCCGCCGGTATCATCGAGCCAAGCAAGAAGTTTGAGTGGACCGTCGGTGGGGGCGCTACTGAGCAAACAAAGAGAAAGGTCTATGTGCATGTGCCCATGACCAAGGGTGGAAAGGCCAAGATTCGTCTGGATGGCCGGGAGGATTCAGAGATCCAAGAGGGTGATGGTGCCTTCATTGATGGCGTCAATGCGGGTGACAAGCTCGCCGTTGAGAGCATTGGTGAGGCTGAGGCCGAGGTTGTCGTTCTTGATACAGCTTAAGCACAGGCTATTTGAATGGGAAAAAACGGTAGCTTCACGACCAATAGAAGTCTCTAGATGTATTTAGCGCGAATCAGTAAAATTGATTTCTTACCATGTAAACAAAAAGCCCGTTCCAAATTGAACTTGTCCTTCCAAAGTCTCCAGCGAGTGGATTGTAAGTTTTAGGAAGGGATATTCGCTGTTGGCGAACTACGTACTAAAATCATCTTTTCCCACCTCGCGATCAAGCAGTGGGGAGCGGATCAAACCCGTTTTATGCCCTGTTGAGCGGTGGGTTAATCCGTCTGTCCAACAAAGCACCGAGAGTGACATTTGTTGGCCCATGCATTTATGGACCACCCTCGGACACATCGAAGAGGATCGTCGACTAATAGATGACTCGACACCAAAGAAGAGCATGAAATCAAAAGGTAACGAGGAGGTGAGCTTAGTTTAGCCAGTGAGATGTGTTCTGGCAAAGAGTCGAGAGCCACGCTGTGTACTACCTTGAGGTCAGAAAGAAAAGAAATCCTAATATCGAATGGTGATTGGTAGAAGTAGGCCTCCAGACGGTGCAAGGGACGGCCTTGGCAGCTGGAGATTCTATGCCGACTGCCAAGCAACGCGGCGGTAATTTGGTGAGAGATGGCCCAGTGGAAAAGTTGTATAATATGAATGCGAGCGAAATTATACTGGCAATTGGCGAGCTTTGGCAAATAACCATCTCTCAGGGGGGGCATTGCATCAATTATAAGCAATATCAATAAACACCACGAACGAGCTTTTTCTAAAAATTGGCCAAGCTGAAAAGCCTGGAATATTGGAAACTATTGGGCTAGCTGACAAGATGGTTAGCGTGAGGTTGAAAGACGAGACTATGTGTTCTAGGCTCATCAAAAAGAAAGAGAAGAGAAAGCCACACTCAAGGTTAAGCTGACGACGCCTCGGAAGATTATTTGACTCCTTTTCACAGCTGTTAAGAAGCCAGCCGCTCTCTCCAAAAACGGGTTTCATCTGGCTATGGATCTGATGATACACAGGTAGTGACAGTATTTGATGTCATTGACAGCTCAATACCACTCGGAAGAAAGCGAAAAATGTCGATCAAAAGCAGGGACTCACCCCGGATCGGCAATCTCCTAACGTGGTAGGTAGATGTCAAGTCTGAACCCTTCTCATCATCATCATTATCGTCAGGGGTTCACGCTTCACGCTTCACCACTGCCAAGTCTCTAGGGCATAAGCCGTCACTTTTGTGATTATAAACTACTGGCCAAAACCTCCGGAGGCATCAGGGGTTTGCTCAAAGTGGAAATCAGGAGCGGTGACGGACTGACGAGGTGAGCAGTTGCGCTAAAAGATTAGCCCTACAGGCGTGTTGATCAAAGCAAACACAACACGCTATTGGTCGATTCAGATGCAGGAACCACTAGCTCTATCGCTTAGTCTTCCACGACTCCACGTGTAACAGGGGTAGATACCAACATCGAGTGACAGCCCCTCTCAGTTTCTTTTCATCACACTGAGATATTTTGCTGAAAAGTCAGTCGTAATGACTCAAGTTCATTCATCATCTACAGACAGAAGTCAAGTGATACTTGTGAAAATCTTGTTACCAGAGCCTAACACTGCAGACTCACTTCCATGGACACTGTGCTAGGCCCTCGACCAGACTATCAACTGCGTAGGTAATCGGACCAACGACACTCTAAACATGCATACTCGGAGATAATCGAACCGAGTCAATTCCCTACCCCCATCCACACTACCCCTAAGACTTACATTTTCGCCGTAGTGATCAGACACCTTGATGTTGGCGCCGTCTCCAAACGGACATCAACCATCTCCATATCATCAGCCTTAGATGGGAATCATTGGCCTGCCAAGATACAATTTCCATAATTCCCCTCTGAACTGTTTCCCATATCAATCATAGTGTGGTATAATGACACCATAAACGCAGCTTAGCGGCTGAGTCTACCTTATCACCGTCCCCATTCTCACCTTGGCGCATCGGCTACGCGGCTCAGACGCCCATTTTCGATAGTCCCTCAGCCGCCCAAGTCCACTCTCGACCAACGCTTAGCCTGTTCCTGAAATCGATAGCCTCCTTCAGGTGTCCGAACTGCAAGAGTTTGCAGAAAGAGCCTTCTTCTGCTGTTCCAAGGCGGAGATTACTTTACAAGATGTGGCCCATTTCGCCGTACCCCATCGACAAACCCCGGGGTCTAAGTGTAAATGGTTCTCCTCTAGTGACAAGACTCCTTACTATGTCCTAGATAGGTAATCACCGGTTCAAATGGCTGAGAACCAACAGCTGAGATGGCTCTGGCCGTCATGAGATGCGTCCAGGGCAGAAATTTCCGAGTGATAGTTCCCTCCATAATAGGTGGCTTTCCCTCTCTTCCCCGATGTTCCTCTCTGTCTTTCCCATCAACTCTGTTGGCAGTAAATTCAAGACGGCTCGGTCCCAGGCCTCATTGCAAACTTTGGTTTGCGTCCCTTCTTTGATAATCGTATCATAACACATTCTTTAACGGCCTCGGCCACATTACAGTCTTTTACAGCCTTTCAGTCACCCATCTCGTGACAATGGCCTCTATCTCTTTTCCGGGTGGTTCTGGTCTCTCCCTGGGACTCAATGGATACTGGGTTTGTTCAGCTTATAGTCTTGGAGATAACCAACTGACCAAGCTCTGTAGGGTCAACTTGGATCCGATTCACTCAAGTCCTACTGTGATTCCGCCCCTGAGTACGTTACTCTGTCTTTCGTGAACCAGGCACCCGAAAATACAGAGTCAGGCTATCCTGGTACCAACTTTGCCGGACACTGTGCGGCTGGTGTCTACAGTAACAAAAACGGAGTTGCCTCATCACTCCTCAGTGAATGCTACACTATCAAGGAGGGCATTCCATACTGCCAGGAGCGTGGAGTTAAGGTTCTTCTGAGCATTGGTGGAGTCTACAACGAAGCTGGAAGCAACTACAAGGTGACCACTGATGATAAGGGAGTTGATTTCGCCGACTTCCTGTACAAGGCATTCGGTCCTTACGATCAAACCTGGGATGGTCCTCGTCCTTTCGATAGTGACGATGGCACAACCCGTCCTGCTGTCGATGGTTTCGACTTTGATATCGAGCATGACCTCCGTACGTGATGACCTACGTCTTTAAGACCTTAGTATCAACTAACAACCATCAGCCAACGGCCCCTATATCGCCATGATCAACGAGCTTCGCCGATTAAACAGCGATGTCATCATTACCGGCGCCCCCCAGTGCCCTACCAGCAACGAATATTTCTACATGAAAGACATGATCAACCAGGCCAAGTTCGACGCCCTCTTCATTCAGTTCTACAACAACCCTAGCTGTGATGCCATCCCCGACCCCTCCGTTTCATGGGATAGATTCAATTACGATGACTGGGAGGATATTGTCGAAGACAGTGCATGCAGTCAGAACGCCAAGCTCTATGTTGGTCTGCCTGCTAGCGAGGCTGCTGCTCCAGGCGGAGGTTATCTCGAGCCGGAAGCCATGAAGGATCTCGTCTGTGCTCTCAAGGACAAGACTCACTTCGCTGGTATCTCTCTCTGGGACTTGACTCGTGGCGCCGGTAACGAAATTGACGGAAAGAACTATAATGAGCATGTCATGGATGCCCTGAAGTATGGTTGTGACCCTGTTCCTGTTACAACCACCACTGCCTTGGCCACTACTTCTGAGGCTACTTCTACTGCCGAATCGACGACAACAGCTGACACAACTACTGCCGATGTCTCTACCACTACTGGTGCAACAACCACATCCGATGCTTCTTCATCTGATATTTCCTCCACTGATGCTTCTTCAACGGGCGCTTCTTCCACGGAAACTGCCACAACCAGTGGGTTGGCGACTGCAGATACTACCACAGCCTCTGGTGTTTCTTCCATTGAGGATCCTACAGCCAGCTCTGATACCTCCGCAGCTACTGATGGCACATCAACACTGGCTACCTCTGCTACATCTGATGCTTCTTTAGCAACCGAGACAACCGATAGCTCTGCCACAAATGTTTCTGGTTCTATGACTGGCACCACCGCTTCTGAAACATCTGCAACTGCCACTGATTCTTCAGCTGACACCACTGAGACCTCTGCACTTGGTAGTGTCTTGAGTACCGGTACTGCGTCTACCACAGTCGATGCCACAGCTACTAGTGACTCGTCTGCCATCACTGAGGATGCCGCCACCGCGACCAGTGATTCCACTCTCGAGAGTAACACAATCACCGGAACTGTCAAGACAACAGATTCTGCTCAGGAAACTGAGTCTGCCACTGCTGAGACTACTTTTAGCACCTTCAAGGGCTGGAACACCACCTATGGTGCTCCCTCTTATACTCAGAAGTATGGCAACCCTACGACCCTTATCCCCTCTGGCACTACAACTCTTACCAAGGGATCGCCTGTTTACACCAAGTACCCTGACAACACTTATACTGTCAGCATGACCACCAGCACTGTCTGCACAACCCGAGTCCACACTGCGGTGGATGGTTACGTGGTCACCGAGACCATCCCTCTGTACACCACTGTCTGCCCCGTTACTGGTAAGGCCAAGCCCACCAACTACGCTGTGCCCTCTCAGTACGAGACCAAGACTGTCTACACCACAAGTGTCCACACCGTCACCAGTTGTCCTCCTGAAGTTGTGGGCTGCCCCTATGGATCTGTTGCCACTGAGACCATCCCTGTCTACACCACTATCTGCCCTGTGACAGAGAAGAGCAAGCCTGCTCCCACTAATGTCCCTTACAACCATGAGATCAAGACTCTCTACACAAGCCAGGTCAATACCATCAGCCACTGTGCTCCCGGTACTCCCGACTGTGTCGTCGGCGCCATCACCACGGAGATCGCTTCGTGGACCACAGCTACTGTGCCTGCGCAGCAAACTCAGCCCATGAAGATCTACAAGCCTGTGCCTGAGATGCCCAAGATCGCCACTAAGGAGGCTCATTACAACGGCACGGTCTACACCAGCGTTGCTGTCCCTCCTGTCACGCTCAAGACAGCTGCTAAGCCCGGAGTTTTCGAGCAGTCTAAGCCCACGCATCAGCAGTCCTCCGGTGCTGCCGCACCTACCGGTGGCTACTCATCAGTACCGGCGTCGGCCCCAACCTATGCTCCGGCTCCGATCACTCCCGCTACTGCCGGAGCCTCTTCTCTCGCGGTTGGTTTGACCTTAATGGCGGGCATGGTGCTCTTCCAGGCGCTTGCGCTGTAGCGAGAGAAACACTCCTTACTTAGACTTTCTTTGATCACTCCCCTTTCTTCTCTTGTCCCCAAGGTCAAGATTCTTTTGATTATACCTTCTTAATGTAGAGGTCAATGGCCTTTACAGTTTCATGCCATCCTATTTTATGTTAATGTGTATAGAACGAATACATATAAATGTTACGGTTAGAACTCAATGATATTTGATACAGGGAGTCCAACTATGTAGATTATCTCATGACCTGAAACGCCATAAATGGTTCATGCTCTGTACCTAATGAACTGTTCCTAAGTATAATATTGCAACGTTGTTTGCTGATCAATCGAATTCTGCTCTCTAGTATAGCCTATATGCGTTTTGGTGACACTTGTTATCTGATGGGCGCTTCAGTGTCAAAATAGGGATATTTTTTAATGCAGAATGATACGTCAGCGGCGGCCGCTATATCTCAATCTGTGCTGGATCGTTGGGTGTGCCTCATGGCTGCATCAAACACGTTCAAGGCAGGGTAAGTATAGACAACAAGGTCTGTTCAGTTTCACGTGCCTCTGATTATTGAATGGCAAAGCTTCTGAGCAGTGTTGATTAACTGAAGTTACCTTGGCGACGTCAAACTCAAAGGCTTGCCTGATTTACTTAGCGGTTTATTATTCCTGGTGGCGGGCGGATTGACCTTGGAGGCTCGAGCCCTCTTCGGAGCTAACAAAGGAACCCGGTTGTTGTCACGGTAAAGCTTGATTGATTGATTGGTTCGAGGGGAAGACGTCATTGGACGGAGACGGGAAGCTCCCATTAGAGGCAGCACCTCATACAGAGTGACAGAGCCCAAGTGAGGACGAGGTGAGGTAGCAACGGTATGAAATCTCCGAATGGTGACGAATGCTCAGCTGTGCCAGGTTAAGCGATGTATGGCATATGTTACATTGGAGATTACAGGGACCTCGGATTCAACTTATCAGGTTGTTTTGGTAGAATCTGAAGGTTGTCATGATAGTGGCAGTGCCCCCTGGACTACATATTTATCGCCTGTCCACTTCAACAAGCTTAGGTTAGGTTCCCCACCTGGCGTGAAGCTCCAAAAGGGCCCCTCCATGGCCGGTTACAGCGCTGTTGCTGAGGTATTCTTTCTCTGGGCTGTACCTTTGTCCAGTAAGGCCGCAACCTAACATTGGTTTTTGGCTGATCAGCTCTGCTGTGACGAATTCATCCCATCATCAACCACATCATCTGAATCCGGTCGCTTCTGTTTTCCTTGCAACTTGGCTACCAACATAAGTTTTCCCCCTTTCCCCTCACCAACATCAACACCAAAGCTCAGCATTCACGACTGCTTGGCATTGACCAGCACGACCCCTGTACACGATACCTACTGCAGCACCCTTCCTTGTTGCAAATCCAGTGTCTGGCCCCTATTTTCTCTTGTTCCCCGCCTCGACTCAATATACATACAGGACAGTACCTTTGGGGGGGAGCTCGATCTATTGGTAGACGTTGGCCAAGATGTCTGACGCCGGTGACGGGTGAGTTTCCAAGTGATAGTGATAATTACTATTGTTTGTTACTGGGCATTTACAGCACCGAGGGAGGAGAGTCGCTGCATTGTCAGATTGGCTCGCAATTACCGCTGCATATGCACGCACACCAGATGCAGTAGATGCAATGGAGTCGCAACTGGGCCACATCACACATGCTTCGCTTCGTACTTAAACTTAGCTTCCCCTCTACTGCTTGACCAACCCCCCCCAGCATCAAAAGTCGTTCCACCTACTGACCGCTGTTTATCTTTTTATCTTCAGCACCCACAAGCGGTCCAAATCCGCCGCCGCTCTCTCTCTTTTGCGGCGCAACAATACTCGCGACGAAGAGTCCGGTTCCGAAGACGGGAGGCTTCGGAGAACTCCCTCATCCTCAAACCCAATCAACCCCATGGCGCACCAGCAGACCCCGCGAGGCCACGGGGCCAAGCAGTCCGTCTCCTCGGCTGGCCTCTCGCCTACAGCTTCTCAATCAAAGTCCCAGCAGTTCCTCTCATCGCCCTCTGCCGAGAAGAGCACTGCAAGCCTCGAGCAGTCCGTTCGAAAGTTCAGGTTCGTCGAGGCACTCCGAAGCGGCGACACCTCATCCATTTCACGTGCCATTCGCGAGACAGCTGAGAATGCCCCGCGAGCGAGCATCTCATCAGTAGGCGCTTCTGCAACAAGCGCTCTCGACGATACCACAATTCTTCACCTAGCGATCCAGTGTGCCGAATTCCCTGTCATTGAATACGTTTTGTCCGAGGGACAGGGATCGATCGATGTGAATGCCCGCGACAAGGATGGCAACACCCCGCTTCACTTGGCTGCAATTCAGGGCCGCACCACAGTCGTGAAGCTTCTTCTCGAGCAAAAGGATATCAATGATGCTATTGCCAACGCCCAAGGCAAACTGCCACTCGACGTCGCACGAAACCCCGAGATCTTCCAGCTGCTGCAACTCTCACGATCGCTTTTCGCCGAGGCCAAGGTCAAGCAAGTCCAAGAGCTGATTGCGCGGGGCAATTATGGCGCACTTGCTGGTGTTCTCGAGGAGCACCGAGTCAAGACCGTTCTTGACATCAATAGCCCCGAATTCGCATCCGAACCATTCACAGTCCAGACTGGAGGCACGTTGCTTCACGAAGCTGCAAGAAAGAAAAATACCAACCTCATCCAAGTTCTGCTTCTGCATGGTGCCGACCCTTTCCGTCGCGATCGAAAGGGCAAGCTGCCTCAATCCGTTACAAACGACGATGCTACAAAAGCCATCCTCAAAAAGTCTCCAGCAGCTGTGGCTGCCCAGCGTGGAATCCAGGAGAAAGCCGTGCTGGGGCAAGCCGCTTCACAGGGCACGGCAGGTTCTGCTTCCGGTGATCCTCTAGCCGGCCGAGAGGCTCGTGAGATGAAGGGGTATCTCAAGAAATGGACCAACTACAGGAAGGGCTACCAACTGCGATGGTTCGTGCTTGAGGACGGCGTTCTCAGCTACTACAAGCACCAAGACGATGCAGGCTCCGCATGCCGAGGTGCCATAAACATGCGTATCGCGAAACTCCACATGAGTCCTGATGAAAAGACGAAATTCGAAATCCATGGCAAATCCTCTGTGAAATATACCCTTAAAGCCAACCATGAGGTTGAGGCCAAGCGATGGTTCTGGGCTCTCAATAACTCCATCCAATGGTCCAAGGACCAGGCTAAGGAGGAAGAGAAGCGGGCAGCTCGAGGTGCGGAGCTCTTGAGGCAGGCCAAGGCCGACCCAAGTACACTTTCTCTCCAAGACTCTCATAGCGAGAACACCAGCGTCACAGATCTACGCAGGAATAGCTCTCAACTTCCAAGCAGGTCTCTGTCCAAGATATCATCTGTCGATCAGAGACCAAACCATGCCAGCCCTGGTACAACTGGTAGCTTTGAGGAAGATGAATTTGTTGATGTTGAGACTGATGCAGGCACCTCGCGGGCGCCCAGGAATGGAGCGCCAACGCATAACGATATGGATGACGACGACGATTATGGCGACGATATGAGCATCCATGAAGAACCCACAGCTACTAAGGATGCACTCAACATTACTGCTCAATCGGCTAAGCTCCAGCTCGAAACAATGTCTCACGTTCACCAAGCCCTTCTCAACGAGCTGAACCAGAACCCGAACACGCCCCTCTCTGACAACAGCGTGACGCAGGCTCTTGGAACATACGATGCCGCCATTCGAAGTTTATCAACTCTGGTAGCCGACTTGCTGCGCATTTCCAAGGACCGTGACGCCTACTGGCAATACCGCCTTGATCGTGAGGCAAATATGAGACGTATGTGGGAGGAAAGCATGGCGCAAGTGGCCCGTGAACAAGAGGTTCTGGAGGCTCGCGTTGGAGAGGCCGAGAAGAGACGCAAGGCAACAAAGAGGGCGCTAAGAGAGGTGATCGAAAGCGGGATACCCGTCGGTGTAGAAGAGGCCATGCCCCGTGTTGAGGATACAATTGTCGAGAAGGAATTGAGCGACGACAGAGAGAAGGAAGACGAAGAAGGAAAATTTGAAGATGCGGCCACCAAACTGTCACCAGTACCGCCAAAATCGCCTACGATGAAGAGCGTCCGAAGGAAACCCACAATCATCGTGGACTTGTCCGAGAGTGAATCTGAAGAAGAGGACGAGTTCTTCGACGCTGTGGATGCTGGCCAGGTTGAGGTATCTGAACTGCCCGCGGAGGAGGTCAAGCCAAAGTCTCAGGACATTGTCGTTTCTGGCGGTCTAGACATCAGCTCCTCTTTCAAGGGCTACGAGAACGGCATTCGAACAAGGCTCAAGATGGACGCCGATGACCGTCCTAAGATTTCTCTCTGGGTACGTTTATTACATATACGTGACATACGAACAATACTAATCTGGAGTAGGGTATTCTGAAGTCGATGATTGGCAAGGACATGACCAAGATGACTCTGCCTGTTTCTTTCAACGAGCCAACTTCACTCCTCTACCGTGCCGGAGAGGATATGGAGTATGCCGACTTGCTTGACCTGGCTGCTGACCGAGCCGACTCGATTGAACGACTTATCTATGTGGCTGCTTTTGCTGCTAGTGAGTACGCTTCAACTATCGGTCGTGTGGCTAAGCCTTTCAACCCCCTGTTGGGAGAGACGTTTGAGTATGTGCGGCCGGACAAGAACTACCGCTTCTTCATTGAGCAAGTCAGCCATCACCCTCCAGTCGGCGCTGCGTACGCCGAGTCACCTAAGTGGTCTTATTGGGGTGAATCGGCTGTGAAGTCGAAGTTCTATGGTAAATCCTTCGACATCAACCCGCTGGGTACATGGTTCCTCAAGCTTCGGCCTACCGCTGGAGGAAAGGAGGAGCTTTACACATGGAAAAAGGTTACATCGTCTGTCATTGGTATCATTACTGGAAATCCGACCGTTGACAACTATGGTGTCATGGAGATCAAGAACTGGACAACGGGCGAGGTGGCTCACGTTGAGTTCAAACCACGC